ACGACATTTCACATAGCTGAAAATTTCAGTCATTTTATTTTGCTCGGCAAAATTCAGTAAAAAATTGCTGATTTCCAGCGATAAAAATGAGTGTACGATGAGAGACTTAAGGATTTTCCAGGTGCTAGCGCAAAATCAATTCGCGACGTTGCTTTTCGAGTGATGCAATTTTTTCCATCTTTCGAAAAATTGACAGCGATTAAAATACAGTGTGAGCAATACACTCTAAACTACTTCCACACAAATTTTCAAGAGAAAATACCCAATGGGTAATTTTCTACAGCGTGTTTTCCGTGATGCAATTTGATGTAGGACTCCCTTTAGGTATCTGTAATAGATACTAAAATTAATTAAGTAGAATTAAATGGAAGATAGCCTTTTTTGCTGTTGTATTAACTATTTTTAAACTTTATTTTAGATTTTATTTGAGGAAACTAAATAGTGTACACTTTCCAAAATTACAATTATGGGCACTCCATGCAGGGAGCGCCCATATGAAAAACCTCTCCACATTTACATTAACAGCACTGCCCAGAACCCCACCTTTATTTGAATTTCGCACCAGCTTGGGATAATCAACTACTTTGAACCAGTTGCTAGCTGCTTTACTGATGGATATCTGAATCGCAAAAATCTTGAAAACAAGCAACCTACTTAGCATCTCTGCTGAAATCAGTTCCTACCAAGCTCGGCAAAATTTAATCAATCTCGGGATGCATCGCAATATCTGATAGATGCTCTGCTCCTTCTCCTTCCGTCCGAGATCCAGGCGTCGTTGACGACGAGATTGCATAAGTTTTAACTTCACCTCTCTGCGTGATGCTAGTTGTACCATCGACAAAGTAGGTGTACCTTACCTGGCTTAGTAGTTCAACACATTTTGCATGTTCAATCCCAGCTCGGAACGCTGGAATAGAAGGAGACCAACGGGGAAAAACTCATTTCAGGTGTACCGGGAAAACTTGAATCGCTGCAGAACTGATTACAATTTTTATTATCTCTGCAAGAATCGGATTGGAAAGTTTGCTGCTCGAAAAGTGGAACGCTGATGTCAGAGATGATTGGTTTCGTTCTTTTACAACCTTGATCTCTTTCATAGGATACCCACTGAGATGGGAATACTTCAAAAATAGAATTCACAGGAAAGAAGCTGTCAATTTGTTTCAGCGCGTACACGCTAAGCAAATCTCTTACATACAATGTAAGGTTGGATTTATTATAGACACAATGCAATTTGTGAAACAAACTTTGTTCGACATATATTCTAGCATAATTTTTTTTAAATTATTTTAAAATTCTTCTAGAGACCACATTACAGAATCTGTTCATGTCGCGAAAATTTGCAAATTCTGCATACTATTCATGTAAATCTGTAATTTTTCGTTTCCCGTTTGGGTGTAATTCAGTCATAAAAAAATTAGATTGCTACGGTTAACGTTCGATTGAATGAGCAATTCCTCGAATGAATGGAATTGTTTTCACTACTGAGAAAACCCACAAAAGCCATGCCCAATGGCAAAACTGCTCAATATCCTATGCTCCTGATTGGAATTGAACGACATCAACACCTTACACTACGTTTCGGTGGCGTACAGCTTGTTTTCCTTTTTTCTCCGAATGAAAAGAATGAGCTACACTTTCAGATACATCAAACAAGTGAGGACCCGTCAGTGGACACAATAAATGCTGATCACCCACGTGTCCAACACCAACTGGTTGTGTCAACTTGCCGTTACCAACGTCACCGTCGTCGTAGCCCTCAGCACTACGATACAGCGAACCAGAAGTGCGGAAAAGCACGCCCAAGGGACAGTCCGTCAAGTAGAAATAACTTGACGGCTGACAAAAAGAACCAAATTCCGGTTGATGACACAGGCAGACATCCATCCACAGGGCCAGGATATCGTGTCCCGAAGACCCGTAGATGAAATGAGAGAAAGGTCCTCACTACGAAACTGATGACGACGACGACGACGACGATGACGACGTCGAGAAGAAATGGAATAAAGATCGCCTCGGAATGATTTGATTTGATGGGCGACACTTTCCGTTTCTCGCTACTATTACGAAGCATTTGCTCTTTCGCTGTAGGATTTGCGAGAGCTGCTGATGTTCTTTTGAAACATCAAGGCAAATGGAGGCCTTATTGTCACCAAAGGGGATCGGCCGTCTGGCTGGGCGCTGGCTGTTGTGCTTTTATCTTGTGCCAGTCCCTCCCAGTCAGTCCCTGCCACCGATATGACGACGGGTGGTTGGGCAGAAACGAAAAATTTCCTTCTATCGGTGATAAGAGCAATTTCAGCTGCCACATTACTGCTGATGATACCATACTTCAATGGGAGGGAATTTTCGTAGGCATCCGGAAAAATGGGTGTTGGGAAGCGAAAGTTAATTAAAAAATGTGAATCGGATCCAGAGGCTCGGGAATGGCTCAATTAGCTGGAAATTTGATAACATCTAATTGAAACATTTCGGTGAACTTTAATTGAAAAAAAAAAATTGAGACCTATTCATGGTGATGCTTTCTTTTTTATTGCTTGTTTATTTTCCGTTGGTATCTGCTTCTCCACGTTAGTGCCAATCATCAATGCCAGACGGGCTTACCAGAGGAGTTTTAATTTTATTAATTAGTTTTCAAGGTTCCAGAATCTTGGAAAACATATCTGATATTATGACTTTTCAGCATGTCCGGGATGTTGGTTTTAGGTCTCAGGTTTCAAAATCTATCAGTTGGTTAGAGTTTCCAAAATTTGATTCGAAGATTTTAACTACAAAAATTAAAACGACATCCATCGACTATAACATTTCTGAAAGTTTCTTGAAGTTTTCCATGAGTAAACCATAGTTCCTCCACAAACAAACAGACATAACATATACATTGGAGTAGCTCATGGGGGTGCCAAGGGATCCAGGCCCCCTCCAGAATTATCTTGAGCCCCCCCCTCCCCCAGATTTTGTGATGTTTTTTTTTTTACTCACCGGTATTTTGTCAAGCTTGTCAAGTTCAGTGATTACAATTGGACCACAAACAAAGATTTTATTAAAGTCCTTTATGTTGACTACTTTTCTTATGTTCGGGACTAGAAGAAAAAAATTGAGAAATTATATTATATCGATATTTAATCGATGGCATAATAAGACGTCTTCAGGCTCTACCAATTGACCATGAGCCCAGGGAACTTCGTAAATCTTCAAAAACTTCTAAGAAGTTCGGGAATTTCTGGATTCTGGAACTTCATAGATTTTCAGAAAAAAATCGTAGCAACAAGGAAGTTGGAAAAGTTCTGAAAACTGCGTAAAAGTAGAAAATTGAATTAAGTTTGAGAAGCTTCATTAAGGGAACATTATTTTATTTCAGGGAAGCTTATGATTGATCGGGAACCTCTATATAATTTCTTTGGCCTTTTTTTAAGCCGTTACATCGCTGAAAAGGCATCTGATAATCCTGAATGACGGATCACACACGCGGGTGGATCCAGCAAACGGTTCATTTTCTGCCATAGATTTTTCGATCTGTTCGGAGGTGCTAGCTTCCAGATTTATCTGGCGAACACTTCCGGATACCCACAGCAGCGACCACTTTCCAATCACCGTCTCTTGACCTGAATTATCACAGATCGCCACGAAGCGAAGAAGATGGCTTTACGACCAAGCAGATTGGCCATTGTTCGAACGACTGACTTCCAGCAGCATCAAACCGGATGACGAGATTGGCGTTGATGTTGATGATTGGATGTGAAAACGACGATCAAGCAGCGTCGAAAACTTCTGAGAGCACTGAAGCGCAGCAGAACAGCAGGATCGGACAGGTGGATTTTCCTCCGGACAACGACGAGATTTATAACGCGGACTTCACCCTAGATGAGCTTCTGTGGGCACTCGACAAAGGACGTAGTGTCTCTACAGGTCCTGACTCGGTAGGGTATCCGATGATCCGACGTCTGCCTGTATCCGTCAAAATCGCGCTGTTGCAGCTTCTAAACAGAATCTGGCGTAGTGGCGTTTACCCTATCAGCTGGCGAACCGGAATAATAGTGCCGATTCCGAAGCCAAACTGTTCTGAATCTGGACCTGCTGCTTTCCGACCTATCACTTTGACCAACTGCATCGCAAAGGTGTTCGAACGTATCGACTGAGTTGGAGTCGAATGGACGACTGGATAAGAGGCAGCACGCCTTTAGAGCTGGGAGAGGCGTCGAAACACTTGGCGGAGTTGGATAGGTCATTGCCAAATCGGGACGAACACTGCTTGATTGCATCGCTTGATCTGTCGAAAGCGTACGACACCACTTGGCGGTACGGTATCTTGCGCACTCTGCGTAAGTGGCAGATGGGTGGGCGCATGTTCAACGTACTGAACAGTTTCCTCACCAACAGATCTTTCCGGGTGAACGTGGAAGAACATTTATCGGGTGAAATGCCATTGGAGAACGGAGTCCCCCAAGGGTCAGTGTTGTCTGTCACGTTATTCCTTATAGCGATGCAGCCGATTTTCAGAGTGGTGCCGCATACTGTTGCCGTGCTTCTCTATGCGGACGATATTTTGCTGGTGGTACGGAGGAGTAAGGAGCGTCCTCTGTATAGAGATCTACAGACTGCAGTGAAAGCTGTCGACAAATGGGCGAAAAGCGTCGGCTTCACAATTTCCGCGACAAAATCAAAAATTTTCTACGGCAGTCCCAACGCCCGTCGAGAACCCAGCAACGATATATTCATCGACCGTACAGCTGTACCGAGGACGAATCAACTGAAAGTTGTTGGTGTCAACCTTGACCGGTCGCTGTCCTTCAAACACCATTGCATGGTAGTCAAAAACACGTGCGACTCTAGACTGCGGATCTTGAAGATGATCGAGGCTAAACTTCCGCGAGGGCAACGCGATTCTTTGTTGGGTATCGGATCAGCAATCGTCACGTCGCGACTTATCTCGGTATCGGGCTCGTCAGTAGAGCGAAGGATTCTTACACCCATCTACAACCGGATGGTCTGATTCGCCTCAGGGGCGTACGTCACCAGTCCGATTCCAGCGATTATGGCTGAAGCAGGCACTTTGCCATTCGACACACTGCAAGCCATAATTCGTGCTGCAATTCGTTTGATGGAGAAGGATTCCAGGAATATCGATCTTCCAGTTGTGGAACGAGCGTCCGATTGCCTGGCGACGATTGATGTAGAGCTTCCAAACATCGCTGTACGAACACGTCTCGCCAACCAAGAGTGGTATGAACCCAAGCCGCATATTGTTTGGGATGTGAAACGGAAGGTGAAAGCTGGGGATCCCCAGAATACAGTGCGTCCCATCGTGCAGGAGTTGCTGGCTAACCGGTTTAACCGTGCTTTGGCTATTTATACGGATGGTTCTAAATGCGAGAACATAGTTGGAGCCGGTGTATTTAGTAGCAGCATTCAGCAAGCAATAGGTCTTCCGTCACAATGTAGCGTGTTTTCGGCGGAGGCCTTTGCAATCAAGTCGGCCGTCATCGCTGCAAGAGCATCAACCGAATGTGTTATAATTCTGTCTGATTCGGCCAGCTGTCTTTCGGCATTAGAGAGTGGAAGATCGCAGCATCCGTGGATCGAGGAAATCGAGCGCTTACTACGTGGACGGCCGATCAACCTTTGTTGGATCCCTGGTCATGCCGGAATCCGCGGTAACGAAGAAGCAGACCGTCTAGCCAGTGAAGCACGAAACAGTCCACCAATCAACATCGCCGTACCAAGGATTGATTCGATAAAGAACATGAACCAAGTCTTTCGTCAGCTATGGGAAGCACGTTGGGCACAATTGACAGATGTGAAACTGAAGGAGGTCAAAAGGGAAACGAAGAAGTGGATCGATCAGTACAGCTCTGCCGATCAACGCATACTCACTCGTTTGCGCATTGGTCATACTAGGGTTACGCATGAATTTTTGCTGAAGAAAACAGCTCCACCAGCATGTGAATGCTGTGGGACCGTTGTTGACGTTCGTCACATTATTCTGCACTGCAGAAAATTTGAAGCGGCCAGGACGAAATACGGAATCGATTCCACAAGCCTTTTTACGGCGTTACGCAACGACGATGATTATGAGAAGCGGTTACTGAAGTTTCTGCATGTAACCAAACTTTATCGGAAGCTTTGAAGGGCGAAGATAGAATGGAAAGGAAAATGCAGGATATAGGAAGAAAACGAAGCGGAGGATGAAGAACAAGCAAGCGATGCAGAAGAAAAACGAAGTCTGAATGGAAGAAGATGTCGGACAGGAAATAGAAGAAGATGCAGCGGAAGAATGTTACAAGCATTAAGAAGATGCTGAATGGAAATCGAAGAAGATGGAGTGAAAAACGATGAAGATGAAGCAGAACACGAAAGTACTACAGAAGACATGAATGAGTATGAAGATGCAGAAGAATGAAGATAAAAATGAAGCGCAAGGAAGGAACGGAGAAATCGAAAAAATAATGTGGAAAAGATATATGGAAGATCATGAAGAATGAAGATGGTGAATATATATATAGAAGAAGTAAAGAGGAAATTTATGGAGAAGAAGTGTAAACCATGAGATGAGCATGCAGACGATGAACCAGGAAATGAGCAAACGAAAGCTAAGTGAATTTTGAATTGTATCGTAAACACTAACACTCACCCTCACATCACTCTGAACACACCCACACACTGTTTACACAAAAACCAATTCAACTGACATGAATGCATCCGCCGGATGTAAAATGTCAATAATAAAGAACAACAACAACAACAACAACATCGATGGAAAATTGGAGAAATCGTGAATACGTTGAAGAGGATATCAAGGCAATGGAAATAAATAATGGAGAAAAAAGGAGATGACGAAAAAATAAAGAAAATAATCTGACGTATAGAAAGAAGACTGAAGAAGATAAATTAAAGAGTTAATGAAGAAGACCAACAAACAACAATGTTTTAATGTATGTTACGAATACAAACAACTGAATAATGCTTAAGAGAATGTATGATATTAACTGTTCTTTTCCTTTAAATGTTAACAGGAAAACATGTTGATTTCCCTAACTGGTGCATTTTACCCCAGAAACCCCTACTAAAATACATTTTATTGTTCGAAATTTCAACTTTACATCCTGCCTGCCTTGATGCCTTTCTCGGTACCACGGCTCAAATTTTCCACCTCATTAGCTGCTCAAGGCCAAAACACTTATCTCGCGGTACTCATTTAACTTTTGATGGCCTGTGCCCCGGAGGGCCAAATGCAAGCACGTTAATCTCACGCTATAGCGCTAGAGTATGCACCCAGTCTAGGGGCCGCCTTAAGTTCAATCGAAAAAGGACCCAGTTTTATAGCTGGGTTCGATTTCCGGTCCTGTTGTGTTTCTTTTTTTTTGGGTTGGCAAATTTCTCGAGTGTCCTGTGAAAAGATTGGATATATTGTACTTACCATAAATGCTCACAATTACCAATTGTGAAAGTTGTGAGCAGTCGTAAAACTCCATTTGGGACGTAATAGCCAAATAAGAACAAGAAAAATAAATGCACCTAGCTAAGCCACCACCACCGCGCTCAGCTGAAGTGGGTACTTTAAAGTTAAATTAGCTGTACGTTTGTTTAATGGCAACGACGCAACAGCGCAACACCAGACGGCTGCAGTCGGCGTGTTATAACTGTCGGACGAGGACTAAAACTCGCACCCTCATCCGGCAGCAACTGCAAGCGTCAAGTGGAAATAAAATGAAAGTTCTAGCTACTTGAGTTAAATGAGCGTGCGAGTGAGTCAAAGCGCACATCAGGAGAAGCAAAAAAAAAACTCGCACACAGGCTAAGAGGACATTTAATCTATAGTCGGCAATTGCAGAGCTTCGAGTGAGCGAACTAAATTATGCAAAGCATATAAATTAATCAGCTGGAAAAGTTTTCGACTCCGAAAATAGCGAATGCATCGTCGTCGGGCTGCAAGGCTTCAATTGGGTATTTATTTTTTGCTCGCACTTCTGGCAGCATTAAACGTCGTTTGCAATTATGAAACTTTCTGACTGAAGCGATGTCGGGCAAGACATTTTGACGTTGAGACTCCAGACGATAAAATTTGAGAAATATGTCCATGTCAAAAGTACAACATTGCAGTGTGGTTTGATAACAAATTAAACGAATTAGTCCTCAGGACAAATTTCTATCCGACGAGATCCGCTTACATGGATCATCCTTGTTACCCACTGCCATGTGCCGCGCACAAGTCCACCATCGCCGAAAATTGAAACTAATGACCATAAAGTACAACTGTCGAAAAACCGTGCTACCGTAATCTGGAGTCAAATTAATCACCGGGTGTATTTGATCACTGGAATTTCTCGTTGTTTTTGTTTGAAGATGAAAATCGATGCATTCTTACGCCGTGGAGCACCAACAATATTGTGCCTAGATAATGAGAAATATCAGTAATCAACCACGCCCTGCTGATCAAATTGACCCCGTTTTACGGTACAAGAAAATTGTACAAGCAAAACTTTACCAACCTGATTTCGTTAGCCAAATGCAGTATGTAGAGCAAACATTGTACGAAGGAATTCATTACAATGTTGATAAATAATAGCAAGAACATGGAATACGGAAGAACAGGCAGGCTGACAAGGCAGCGTCATTTGAAACAGCTTTGCTATGATTCTGGACAAATTTATGGAGAAAAACTTTCACATTTAAAGCAAGTAATGCTCATCTCATGTTTCTTCGAGAGTCATATAACCGTTTGCGGATCTCGAATCAGCTTCTTCAGAATCAACTCTGGGCCATATTAATAAAAGTACTGGATTCATATGATGTGATGCATCAAACGTTATTTTCAGATTGACTTGGGCGAGAGCTGAGGAGACGTCATAAAGGCTCTTTTTTTGAAGAAATCTTTTTAGACCGATCTTTGGTCACTCAATGCGGAAACTTTTTTTTTTTTTTCATGAAAAATATATAAATATTCACCTTTTTAATTTAATCTTAAACGTATGGCCTTTTTTGGAACACATTCTTGTCAAAAATAGTTGATATCAGAGGACAGTGTAGAGCAAAACATGTTTGGTACTTCTTTGCACGCACGTAGATTAACGTCCGAAGTCCTTCCTTTTTCAAATACTCTGCACAAAAAATACTTTCTGAGTCCCACTTCTAACAGTATTTCCCGGCGGTTTTATGAATGGGGTGGGGCTAAGAAGTATTGTTTGTAAAGCATATATAAAAAAGGAGGGACTATGGATGTAAATCTAATTCCATATATACACATGTTTTTCAGTCTAGGGTACTGTATTTGAGTGGAATCAAAATACATGCATATTGAGAGATTGAGCTCGTGAGAGAGAATTTTCCTACTCAAATTATTTTTTATGGCTCTATAGAGTCTGGTAGTAAAGCAGGTTAACATAGTATGGGATTTTTTGTTATTAAATTTAATTGTTGCTTGTTTAACAATACTGTACCATATATCATCGGAAAAGCTGCTGTAGAAAGGTTAATAAGTACCATGGAATCAGCTGAAATGTTCAGTAAATCATTGTGTGTATTTGTGCACGTGGGTTTCCCTTGATAGACATACCGAAAATCAGATCGACCCTATCTGCATCAGCCGAAAATGGAGACGGAGCCTTTTTGAAGTTCGGAATAAACGCAGTGCCGACATCGCGTCTGACCATCACCTTCTAATCGGCGAAATCCGCCTACGCATGGCGCGGATCCAGTGACGGGAGGAGAGACTCGGGCGGCAGTTCAACACACGACGACTTGAAGATCCAGCGGTAAAAAGGTCTTTTGTTGAAGAACTTGAGACTCGAGCTGCGGACGTTCCAGAAGGTGGCAGCGTAGAAGAACAATGGACGGCCATCAAGAATGCCCAAGCGAGAACAACTTGGGTGAGCTGCGCACCCAGAGGAAAGAGTGGATCACATATGAAACCTGGCGGAAGATTAAGAAGTGTAGAGGAGCAAAAGCCGCCATAGAGCGGGCGAGAACCAGAGGAGCCAAGAACGAAGCCCGTCAACGGTACTCGGCTCTAGAGAAGGAAGTCAAGCGCTCTTGCAGACGGGACAAGCGAGCGTGGGTGAACTTCCTGGCCGACGAAGGGGAGAAAGCCGCAAATACTGGCGATATACGCCTCCTCTACGATATCTCACGACGCCTGAGTGGAGCAAGGATGAACCCGAGGATGCCATGCGAGGACACGACTGGACAATTGCTTACCGACCCCACTGACCAGCTGAAACGCTGGTTTGAGCACTTCGAACAACTTCTTCAAGTTTCGACGGCCAACCAGCCATCAACATCTCGGCATTATCCGCCTAGGGTGCGGAGCATCACTCGCGTCAATTCCGAGGCCCCATCACTGCAGGAGATTGAAGCAGCTATACGAAGCATGAAATCCAACAAGGCTCCAGGGATCGATCGCATATCAGCAGAGATGCTCAAAGCTGACCCCATGCTATCCGCACAAATGTTGCATCAACTATTCTGTAATATCTGGGACATCGCGACTTTTCCGGTCGACTGGATGCAGGGTATCTTAGTGAAGGTCCCAAAGAAGGGGGATCTGCCTATGTGCGACAATAGGCGAGGCATCATGTTACTGTGTATTGTTCTCAAAGTTCTGTGCAAAGTTATTCTGAATCTGATACAGGAGAAGATCGACGCGACTCTCCGACGGCAGCAGGCAGGATTCCGTGCCGGAAGATCTTGTGTGGACCATGTCACGCTCCGCATCATCCTGGAGCAGGTCAATGAATTCCAATTATTTGGTATTCATTGACTACGAAAAAGCTTTCGACCGTCTCACGTGCAGAGTTCTGCATAACGGAGCCTTGTCCGACCCTATCCGGGCAGTCGCTGGTGTGAGACAAGGACGTATACTATCACCGCTACTGTTTCTCATCGTAATCGACGAGATCATGGTAGGTGCAATTGACCGTGTACCGAACCGTGGGCAGCCTATCACCATGGAGCATCTCAACGACTTCGATTTGGCTGATGATGTTGCTCTACTAGCACAACGGCGCTCTGATATGCAGACTAAGCTCAATGACCTAGCCGAACGCTCCTCTGCGGCGGACCAAATCGTTGGATATCAACACGGGCAACCCTTCTAACTTTACGGTAGCGGGGCAAGCAGTGGAGAAGGTC